GGTTGGGGGCGTCGGTCTCACCGATCCTCATTGACGTTGCTCCGAAGTCATCCTGGCTCCCCTCCCTTGAGCCGCCTGGCTCTCCCTCTTTTCTTCCACTTCTCACTCAGCCAGGGTGTGGTTTTCGAGAGGCGTGTCGTGTCGCCCGCCTCCCTGGCCTCGGATCCGAGTCGCTCCGACCAGCGAGCTTAGTAGAGAGAGCTGTTCCCCGCAGAAAACCAAGTGTAAGTCACTTATGTTCTTATATATGTGGCTCCTCCTGGGGCACGACTCCTTAGTATTTTACGTGCTTTTTATACATTGACCTTCTCTTGTGGCTCCAATCATCAATGTTTTATGCACGTCTGTTCCTATATAATGGGCCTCTCCTGGGGCACGAATCCTCCCTGGGAGGCCCCTGGAGGCCCCAGGAAGCCCCAAGGGGCCCCAGGAGGCACCAGGAAGCCCCAGCACGTTTCAGGAGGCCCCCTGAGGTCCCAGGCTCATGCGCACAGGCGCGCTCGTTCGACTGAGGCTCATTGACACTCCGAACAATTCGCAGTTAAATTCATGACCAGACCGTCGCAACTCAAGCCCGCTTACATTCGAAAACTCTTGCGCCTAGACACTCAAGGCTGGCAGGTCCATGCGAATAGATGCACATATGGGGAGCTCCACGAAGTGAGTATTTATTCTCCGACTGCGTCGGACCAAGAAAACCCCTTCCCTCCTCCCTCTCTGCATTAGACAATGATGATGATTGTGATGATGATGACCGTGGTATGGTGAGAGTAGGATGTGAGTATGATGGTGATGGTGAATGATGGATGAGTATGATGATGCTGCTGCTGATGATGCTGACGATGATAATGATGATGACAATGCGCAGATGATGAGGATGTGTCGAGTGGTTTGCTGGTTTTCGCTCTCCTGAGGGGGGGCCGCCAGGGGTATTGCACGGCCGCCGTTCGCGCCCAAATGGTGGGGATGTCTCAGGCGGTTTGCTTGTTTTGGTCCTCAACATCCTCCGCTTTCGGAGCAGATTCTGAGGATGTCTCAGGCGAGGCGTTGGTTTTGGCACTCCTCAGGGGGGGGCCGCCAGGGGTAGTGCACGGCTTCCGTTCGCGCCGAAATGGCGGGGATGTCTCAGGCGGTTCGCCGGCTTTGTTCCTCAACATCTTCCGCTTTCGGAGCAGATTCTGAGGATGTCTCAGGCGAGGCGCTGGTTTTCGCACCCCAGGGGGTCCAGATTTCGAGGATGTCTCAAGCGGTTTGCGTGTTTTGGTGGCCAGACTCGTCTGCTGTCAAAGCAGATTCCGTGGATTTCTATGGCGAGGCGCTGATTTCCGCACTCCCAGAGGGCCCAGATTGCAAAGGATGTCCTAGACTCACTTATGCTCAAACTCATTCGTGCTCAGGCTCACTCATATTCAGGCTCGCACTCATCATACTCATACTCAGACTCACCCACACCCAGACTTACGCACACTCAGACTCACTCACACTTAGACCCACGCACCCTCAGACTCATTCGTAGTCAGACTCACTCGTACTCAGACCGACTCAAGGCCAGTTTCATATCCATCATACTCATACTCAGACGCACTCACATGGGGGGCGCCAAGGGAGTATATCACATGCCCGTTCGCGCCGAAATGGTGGGGATGGCTCAGGCGGTTTGCCTGTTTCGGTGCCCAACATCCTTCTCGTTCGGAGCAGTTTCCGAGGATGTCTCAGGCGAGGCGCTGGTTTCAGCTCTCCCACAGGGGGGCGCCAAGGGATTATATCACAGGCCCGTTCGCGCCCAGATTGGGGAAATTGTCAGGCGGTTTGCCTGTTTGGGTGCCCAGCGTCATTGTCTTTCGCAACAGTTTCCGAGGATGTCTCAGGCGAGGCGTTGGTTTCAGCACTCCCAAGGGGGGCGCCAAGGGGTATCTCACAGGCCCGTTCGCGCCCACATTGGGGGATGTCTCAGGCGGTTTGCCTGTTTGGGTGCCCAACGCCCTTCTCTGTCGGAGCAGTTTCCGAGGATGTCTCAGGCGAGGCGCTGGTTTCAGTACTCCAAGGGGAGGGGGGCTTCGCGCCCAGATTGGGGTGGTGTCTCAGGCGGTTTGCCTGTTTGGGTGCCCAATATCCTTCTCTTTCGGAGAAGTTTCAGAGGATGTCTCAGACGAGGCGCTGGTTTCAGCATTCCCAAGGGGGGGCGCCAGGGGGTATTGCACGGGACCGTTCGCGCCCAGATTGGGGTGTCTCAGGCGGTTTGCTGGTTTAGGTTCTCAATATCCTTCTCCTCCGGAGCAGTTTCCGAGGATGTCTCAGGCGAGGCGCTGGTTTCAGCACTCCCACAGGGGGGCGCCAAGGGGGTATTGCACGGGCCCGTTTACGTCTTCACGGATGGATTTCCCTGACAGGTGTTCGCAGGGAAAGGATGAGAAAGAGGAGGAGGAGGAGGACAAGTTGGAGGAGGAGGAGGACGGAAGGAGGAGACAACTGTTTAAAGTCGTCGTAGTCGTCGGCGTCTTCCTCGGCCTCGTTTTCCACGTGGATTCGCTGACATTGGATATTGAAAAGGACAATGTCGTCTACCGAAGCTTGCCATGCCATCACTATGAGATGTACATATGGGGATGTCCGCGTCGAGTAATTATTTAGATCGCGCGGAACGCGAGAGAGAGAGAGAGAGAACACACCTCCCACCCTCAACACCTCCCACCCTCAGGTCATCATTCTCTGACTCACTCACATGTAGACTCATTCATAGTCAGACTCACTCACTCATACTCATATGCACTAGCTCTTAGATTCTTGATGCTCAGGTTTCGCATGATCGGGATCACTCATTTGCAGACTCACTCACGCTCCTGGTATGTCAGCGCTCAGATTCACACACACGTTGTGAGGATGTCTCAGGCGAGGCGCTGGTCTAGTACTCCCAAGGGGAGCCGCCAGGGGGTATTGTATTCTTCCGTCTCGAGCGGTTTGCCTGTTTTGGCGTCCGAAATCTTCGCTTTCGGAGCAGATTTGGAGGATGTCTCGGATGAGGCGCTCATTTTCGCTTCCAAGGGGGAGCCGCCAGGGGGTGTTACACTCCTCCGTTCGCGCCACAATGGCAGGGATGTCTCGAGCGGTTTGCATGTTTTGGTGCCCGACGTCCTCGGCTTTCGGAGCAGATTTGGAGGATGTCTCGAGCGAGGCGTTCATTTTCGCTTCCAAGGGGGAGCCGCCAGGGGGTATTGCACTCTTCCGTTCGTGCCAAAGTGGCGGGGGTGTCTCGAGCGGCTTGCCTGTTTTGGTGCCCGACACCGCTTTCGGAACAGACTTGGATGATTTCTCGAGCGAGGCTCTCGTTTTCGCCTCCAAGGGGGAGCCGCCAGGGGGTATTGCATTTTTCCGCACGCGCCAAAATGGCGGGGATGCCTCCAGCGGTTTGCCTGTTTCGGTGCCCGACATCTTCCGCTTTTGGAGCAGTTTCCGAGGATGTCTCAGGCGAGGCGTTGGTTTCAGTATTCCCAAGGGGGGGCGCCAGGGGGTATATCACAGGCCCGTTCGCGCCGAAATTGGGGGGATATCTCAGGCGGTTTGCCTGTTTGGGTGCTCAACATCATTCTTTTTGGGGACAGTTTCCGAGGATGTCTCAGGCGAGGCGCTGGTTTCAGCACTCCCAAGGGGGGACGCCAGGGGGTATTGCACGGGTCCGTTTTCATTTTTTCACGGATGGATTTTCTTGGCAGGTGTTCATCGGGAAAGGAGGAGAAACTGGAAGAGGACAAAGAGGAGGAGGAGGAGGACGGAAGGAGGAAGCAACTACGTAAAGTCGTCGTAGTCGTCGGCGTCTCCCTCGGCCTCCTTTTCCACGTGGATTCGCTGACACCCGGATATTGAAAAGGACAATGTCTTCCACCGAGGTTTGTCATGACTATGAGATGCACATATGGGGATGTCCGCGTCGAGTAATTGTCCCTGGGGGCCCTCTCGGGGGCCCTCTTGAGGGCCTCTGGAGCCGTCGTGAGGTTTTTTTGACTGTCTGGAGGCCATCTGAGGCTCTCTTGGGGCCGTCCTGGTGCCCCCCGTTTTGGGGCCCTCTCGGGCCGTCTTGGGGCCCTTGAGCCGCTTCATTCGAACAAATAAGAGGAAACGGGCCGTGGAAGGCGCCCACGTGCCGCTTCACTCGAAACAAATACAAGTGAAACGGCCCCCCAGCGGCCATTAGACGCATGCGTCCGGCCCTCGCCCCTCCCCTGGAACCCCTCCCTAGACGGCTTCGCCCCACACTAGGACGTCATCACTCGTACTTCGCTCTTTCCGCTATCCCGGGTCGAGGGTTCACAGCCCAGCCCCCCCTAGATGCGATGTGTCCCAGGGTTCCACAGGCCTCCACCTCTAGATGGAATGGGGGGAACGACGACGCCGCCGTCGTCGACGACGACGACGAACCACTCCACATACACAGGCAGGGGGAGGGGGGGGGCGATCCCATTCGCGAGGCTTTCGCGAGGCTCACGGGCGTACCCATCCAGCTGGGGAGGGGGCCGATCCCAGTATCTTTGGGGGGGGGGCGGAGCCCTGGCCCAACAGCCCTTCAACCTTTGAAGGGGTGACTGGAGCCCCCCGAATGGCGCCCAGGAGTTTTGTTCTGGAGGCCAGGGGGCCCCGAGACGGGCCAAGAGAAGAGCTTCAGGAGGCCCCTCAGAGGGTCCCAGAGGGCTCCGACACGGCCGCGCAGCGTTCCAGGATGGGTCAAGGTGGCTTCAAGACAGTACCAGGTGCCTCCAGGGTGCCTCAAGGCGATTTCAGATGGCCCGCAAGAGGGTCTCGAAGGGCACAACTCATCGTTCCTTGGACCAGGGGTGCTCAAGGACAGACAAAGAGGGCTCCAGCAGGCCCCCCTAACAGTCGTCCAAGAGGGCTCCGACACGGCCCCGGAGCTTTCGGATGGCCCAAGATAGCCTCAAGACTACCTCCGTAGCCATGTGCGCTAGAGGTCCAACGCCGTTGGAAATTCGCTCAGTAGCTGGGCGCACATGACGCGCTTCCTCGGGATGAGTACAGCTCACAGCGCAATGCTTTTGGCATGGGCGGTGTATTTGATACTTGCTTTGAGCCTGAGCTTTTACGATGCGTTGCCCTACGCGATTTTCACAGTCCTCTGTGTGTCGATCTACTTGCTGAAGTACTTTGAGGATTCCATCCCGGTCCCAGCTACGCCTGCGCTTGCCTGTCATGCCTGCCTCGCCGTGCTAGGGGCATTAGCGCTCGTCATCATCGCCTGGCAGATCGCAACGGCTCCTGGAGAGCTACGCCTGTTCAAGGTGCAGTCGGTGATTGGATTCTGTGCACTCGTGGGTTTTTCATTTCTGACTTCTCACAAGAGGTCGAACATCCCTTGGAGGCTCGTCGCGGCTGGCCTGTTATGCCAGTTCTACCTTGGTGTGTTCGTGTTCAGGAGTCGTACAGGGCACAAGATCTTTGAGTCCATGGGAGATGCAGTGTCGACTTTCTTGAACTTTGCTGATGTGGGTGCAATGTTTGTGTTTCAAGACTCAGACAAGACCTTCGCGGCGAACCATATATTCGCATTCAGCGTGCTCCCCAAGACGGTTTTCTTTTCGGCGGTCTGCTCAATCATGTATTACTTGGGTGTTCTGCAGGCCACCGTGCGGGTAGTGGCGGCAGTCCTGAGGTTTGCGTTCGGTAGCAGCACTGTGGAGTCTGTGAACGCCGCGGGCAATATCTTCCTCGGGCAGACCGAGGCTCCTTTGCTGGTGAGGAACATTCTTCCCAGCGCAACCCCATCGGAAATACACTGCATCATGACAGGGGGCTTTGCCACGGTGGCTGGAGGGGTACTCGCCGCGTACATCGCCATGGGCGTAAGCCCTAGCCAGCTCATCGGAGCATCGGTCATGTCGGCCCCTGCCGCGCTGACAATCTCGAAGATCGTCTGCCCGTCGGGTGTGACGGTGGAGAAGCCGTCTGACAACGAATGTAGCATCACGGCCAGCGACTCAGACGTAGAGGACGACGCGTCGGACGCGACTGGGGACACCACCGCCACGGCCGAGGACACCGAGTTCGTCTTCCCAGCACCCTCCGAGAAAAACATAGTGGAAGCCGCCGCCAATGGGTCGAGCATTGCCATAGCGCTCGTCCTGAACATCGCGGCGATGCTAATCTCTTTCCTCTCGCTCATCGCGTTCTTGGACACGGTGCTGTGGAAGCTTGGGGCCATGGTGCAGATAACCTTGTCGTTCGAGGTGGTGTGCGGGTGGTTATTCTTTCCAGTGGCGTGGATCATCGGAACACCATATGAGGACTGTGGCACTGTCGCCAGTCTCATCGGCACCAAGATCTTCCTGAATGAATTTGTGGCCTACCAGAAACTGTCCACGATGATCGGGGTGCATCGGGCCATCAGTCCACGCGGTGAGCTCATCGCTACCTACTCGCTGTGTGGGTTTTCTAATATCGCTTCTATCGGGGTCCAGGTTGGGGGCCTGGCTGCGCTGTGCCCAGAGAAGAAATACGTGTACGTCGATTTGGTCGTTTCGGCGATGATCGCAGGCAACACGTGCTGCCTCATGACTGCCGCTGTGGCGGGAATTCTGTCATAAAGCATGCGGCGCGCTTCCTTGCCCTCAGAGGTGGCCTTGCTACCTGCGCGAAGGCTGGACAATCAGCAGCATCGGACCCTGATTCGTGCGTACATGCGGATACTTCGTGTTTGTCTCGCACAGGACGGCCAACAGCGTCACAACCACGAGTTGTTTTCAACATTTGCTGGGGTTTTGGCGCAACCGCCGTGCCCCGTGTAAGGCCGCACCCAGTGACGACACAGACGTAGCGTTTCCAGATGTGGCCTTGCATGCCATGCGTCCTCGAAGAAAATGATTCAATACTGCCCAGGGGCCTCCAAGACGTCACGAGGCGCGCCAGGGGGCCCCCAAGAGGGCCCAAGGAGACCAAAGTCATTGTTTGTCCCAACTATCGTGTGGTGTTCGGTCGTTGTATGAAGAGACAGCGCTCCGCGTCCCTCCTCCCCCCCTCCTCCTCCCCCCCTCCTCCCGTCCTTGGCTCTGCCTTTCGCATGTCAACCACTTAGGTGCACCCCTCACACGCTTCGTGGCCCTAGAGGGAGCTCCACCGAAGGCTCCTGTGGCAGCATTTGCATGCGTCCCCGCCGCACATTGCGGCACACCTCTCACACGCTTCGTGGCCCCATAGGGAGCTCCACCGAAGGCTCCTGTGGCAGCGTTCGCATGTGTCCCGGCCTCACATCTCGCCACATCCCTCACACGTTTCGTGGCCCCAGACGGAGCTCCACCGTAGGCTCCCGCGGCAGCGTTCGCATGCGTCCCGTCCCCACCTCACATTTCGTCACACCCCTCACACGTTTCGTGGTCCCATCGGGTGTTCCACCGCAGGCTCTTGTGGCAGCGTTCGCATGCGTCCCCGCTGCACATTTTGTCGGCGCACCCCTCACACGGTTCGTGGCTCAACGAGGCGCCCCATCGACAACCCTTGCGGTAGCGTTTGCATGCGCCCCCCAGCCCATGTCGGCACACCCCTCACACGGTTCGGGGCCCCATCGGGAGCTCCACCGAAGGCTTTTGTGGTAGGGTACGCATGCGTCTTCGCCTCGCTCCAACGCATGCCCCCGCGGCAGCGTTTGCATGCATCCTCGCCGCGCGTTTCGGCACACCCCTCACACGCTTCGTGGCCCCAGAGGGAGCTCCACCGAAGTCTCTTGCGGCAGCGTTCGCATGCGTCCCCGCCGCACATTGCGGCACACATCTCACACGCTTCGTGGCCCCATAGGGAGCTCCACCGAAGGCTCCTGTGGCAGCGTTCGCATGCGTCCCCACCTCACATGTCGGCACACCCCTCACACGTTTCGTGGCCCCAGAAGGAGCTCCACCGTAGGCTCCCGCAGCAGCGTTCGCATGCGTCCCCGCCGCACATTGCGGTTGACCCCTCACACGTTTCGTGGTCCCATCGGGTGTTCCATCGCAGGCTCTTGTGGCAGCGTTCGCATGCGTCGCCGCTGCACATTTTGTCGGCGCACCCCTCACACGGTTCGTGGTTCAACGATGCGCCCCACCGACAACCCCTGCGGTAGCGTTTGCATGCGCCCCCCAGCCCATGTCGGCACCCCCCTCACACGGTTCGGGGCCCCATCGGGAGCTCCGCCGAAGGCTCTTGTGGTAGCATACGCATACGCTCTCGCAGCATTATTCGGCACACCCCTCACACGCTTCGTGTCTCCATGGGGAGCTCCACCGAAGGCTCCCGCGGCAGCGTTCGGATGCGCTCCCCCATGCCAAGATTCCGGCACACCTCTCACACGCTTCGTGGTCCCGTATGGGGTTCCACAGAAGTCGCTTGTGGCACGGTTAGCATGCGCCCCCCCGCCCACTTCGGCACACGCCCCACACGTTTCGTGGCCCCTTAAGGAGCACCGAAGGCTCCTCTGACAGATTTTGCGCGCGTCCGTGTTGAATTGCACGCGAACAGATAGGAGCGAACAGTCTTAAAAGTATTGTTGAGCTCTTATTTCTGAAGAATAATTATTGTGGACCCCCCCATCGGTGCATACTGTTATTTCTGAAACAAAGTGTGCCCCTCGACGCTCGCACCCTGTTTTTTGACAGGGAAAGTCTCGAGGCTCAAACTTGGCCCCTGGCCCTCAGGTTACAACAACAACGGCTCCCGCCTGAGACTTCTTCACAATTTAGCCAGGACCCCCGTTCCCGCATGAGACTTCCTCGCATTTTATTCAGGAATCGCGCTCTCGCTGGGGACTTCCTTACAATTCTTACAATGTATTCAGGAAGCGCTCTCCTGGCGCTCTGGAGTCGCGCTCTCGCTGGAGACTTGCTTGCAATTTACTAAAGAATAGCGCCCTTGCGTTGTAATTTCTTGCATTGTACTCAAGCGCCGCGCTCCCGACACCCAGGCACCCAGGAGTCGCGCTCACGCTTAGGACTCCCTCACAGATTACCTAGGAATCAGGATCTCGCTGTCCTTCGTGGTCCCGTTGCAGCCCTTCGTGACCCTCTCGCTTTGTTTCGTGGCCTCGCTGCCCTTCGTGGCCCCGTTGCAGCCCTTCGTAGCCCCCTCGCTTTGTTTCGTGGCCCCGTTGCAGCCCTTCGTGGCCCCCTCGCTGCCCTTCGTGGCCCCGTCGCAGCCTTCGTGGCCCCGCTGTCGCCCTTCGTGGCCCCCTCGCTGCCCTTCTTGGCCCCGTTGCATCCCTTCGTGGCCCCCTCGTTGCCCTTTGTGGCCCCATATATGTATGCCCTTCGTGGCCCCCGCTCGTTCGCGCCCGTCGTGGCCCTTACATGCATGCCCTTCGTGGCCCCGCTGTCGCCCTGCGTGGCCCCCTCGCTGCCCTTCGTGGCCCCGTTGCTGCCCTCGGTGGCCCCGTCCTTGCCCTCCGCGGCCCAGTATACATATGCCCTTCGTGGCCCCCGCTCGTTCGCGCCCGTTGTGGCCCCATGTGCATGGCCTTCGTGGCCCCGCTGTCGCTGTTTGTGGCCCCCTCACTGTCCTATGTGGCCCAGTTGCTACCCTCGGTGGCCCCATCGTTGCCTTCTGTGGCCCCGCATTATCTGCCCTTCGTGGCCCTCGCTCGTTCGCGCTCTTCGTGGCCCCATACGCATTCCCTTCGTGTCCCCGCTGTCGCCCTTCGTGGCCTACTTCGTGTCCTTGTGGCCCTGCTGTCGTTCTCTCTCGCTCTCGCTTTCGCTCGTCGTCGTCGTCGTCGCCGTCGTCGTCGTCGTCGTCGTCGTCGTCGTCGTCGACGTCGTGGTCGGTCCCCTGTCCGTCCCTCTTGGGGTCGGGTCGACAGTCCGCGGCCGCCCCGCCGATCAGCGCTGCCGCTGGCCAGGCCGACGGTCCGCGGCCGCCCCGCCGCTTGCCAGGGCCAGGCCTGCAGGGAAGAAAGGTATACCACCCAAAAGGGGCTCGATCGAATGCGAAGAGGGCGGGTATCCAGGGTTTGGGACATACGCGTTATTGGACACTCGAGCAGATAAGGGCGAACAGTTTTAAACTGGTTGTTGTTGTTGTTGTTGCTGTCGTGATTGTGGTTGTGGTTCTGGTTGTGGTTGTGGTAGTGGTTGTGGTAGTGGTTGTGGTTATTGGCATTGTGGTTGTTGCTGTTGCTGTTGTTATTGTTGCTGTTGCTGTTGCTTGTTGTTGTTGTTGTTGTTGGTGTTGGTGTTTGTGTTGTTGTTGTTGTGGTGGTGGTTGTGGTTGTTGTCGTCGTCGTCGCCGTCGTTGTTGTCGTTGTTGTTGCTGTTGTTGTTGCTGTTGTTGTTCATGTTGTTGTGGTTGTTGTTGTTGCTGTTGTTGTTGCTGCTGCTGCTCTGGTTGTTGTTATTGTTGTTGATGTTGTTTTTTGTTGTTGTTGTGATTGTTGTTGTTGTTGTCGTTTTCGTTGTGGTTGTGGTTGTCGTCGTCGTCGTCGTCGTTGTGGTTGTTGTTGTTGTGGTTGTTGTTGTTGTTGAATTCTCACTTTTGAAGAATAATTATTGTTGGTCCCCCCACAGGCGCATACTGTTTTTCTCAATAAAAGTGTGCCCCTCGACGCTCGCACCCTGTTTTTGACAGGGAAGGTCTTCCTGCTCAAACTGGCCCCCTGGCCCCCGGGTTACAACAACAACGGCTCCCGCTTGAGAATTCCTTACAATTTAGCCAGGACCTCCGCTCCCGCCCGGGACTTCCTCGCATTTTATTCAGGAATCGCGCTCTCGCTTGGGACTTCCTTACAATTTATGCAGGAATCGCTCTCTCGGCGCTCTGGAGTCGCGCTCTCGCTAGAGACTTGCTTGCAACTTACTGAAGAATGGCCTTGCGTTGGAATTTCTTGCATTTGTGTCCCCCTCATTGTCCTACGTGGCCCAGTTGCTACCCTCAGTGGCCCCATAGTTGCCTTCTGTGGCCCCGCATTATCAGCACTTCGTGGCCCCCGCTCGTTCGCGCTCTTCGTGGCCCCATTCGCATTCCCTTCGTGTCCCCGCTGTCGCCCTTCGTGGCCTACTTCGTGCCCTTCGTGGCCCTGCTGTCGTTCTCTCTCGCTCTCGCTTTCGCTCGTCGTCGTCGTCGTCGTCGTCGTCGTCGTCGTGGTCGGTCCCTTGTCCGTCCCTCTTGGGGTCGGGTCGACAGTCCGCGGCCGCCCCGCCGATCAGCGCTGCCGCTGGCCAGGCCGACGGTCCGCGGCCGCCCCGCCGCTTGCCGGGGCCCTGCCTGCCCCCAAAAGGGGTTCGATCGAAGACGAAGAGGGCGGGAGTCGAGGGTTTGGGAAATACGCGTTCTTGGACACTCGAGCATATAAGGGCGAACAATATTAACATTATTGTTGTTGTTGTTGTTGTTGTTGTTGTTGTTGTTGTTGTTGTTGTTGTTGTTACTGTTGTTGTTGTTGTTCTTGTTGTTGTTGTTGTTGTTGATTTGTTGTTGTGTTGTTGTTGTTGTTGTTGCTGTTGTTGTTGTTGTTGTTGTTGTTGTTGTTGTTGTTGTTGTTATTGTTATTGTTGTTGTTGTTGTTGAATGGTCCTTCCTTACGGATTTGTTGAATGGTCCTTCCTAGGAATAGTATTGATCTCCAGAGACG